AGCGGGCCATGGCGACGGGCCGCGGCGCGGCCGCTGGTGCCGCCGGGCCCAGGTAACGCTCTCCCCGCCCGGCCTGAGGAGAGGGCGTCGAGCGGGGAGCAGGGCTGTGCTGCCCCAGGGCTGCCCGCTCGTCCTTTCCCCCCGACTGTGGCCGTGTGTGTGTGTGGAGAGAAGGGGTCGTTGTCTTCCTTCAACTACCATTGCTCCTCTGGGAAGCCCACCCGCCTCACGGACAGGGCTGCCGGGCCTGACCTTGTCCCAGCTCCGGCCTGCTCCCCCCAGGCCATGGAGCCCACGCCGGCGCTTCCAGGCGTGTGAAGGTCGAGGTTTAACGGTTTTTTTTGTGGGATGGTGGGGCTGGAGCTCGGGTGTGTGCTTGAGCTCAGAGCGGGTAGTGTCATGAGCAGCGGCTTCTCTACAAAGCAGTTAGCTCAGTGGCCGATGTAGTGGGTTCAGGGTCGTTAGGCCTTCGTGATAAATGGGAGGGTTTTGTTGTGGAAGGTGTGATTAACTTAATTCTTACAGTACAGCTTACAGTACAGCTTCAGCTTCCAAAACTTCGAATCACGGGTCTTGGAGGCAGAGTTGAGAAAGCGGGTTTTTCTGCTAACCCGTTTGCACAACCGCGGGGTTCATAGCTGTTTCCCTCTTGGTTTTTTAAAGCTGTAAGTGGAATAGATAATACCTTTTTAAAAGGCACTGGAATTGTTAGCTGAGGAAAAAACTCCACAGATGTGAAAAACTGCTTGTCCCCAGGTGTGCTTTAACGTTTGGGGAAGGAGGCAGGTTTTGTCACTACTTAGCAACTTTCTATATGTTCTTTGAAATAGATTTGTTCCCCGACCTGTGAAAAGCCAACAGTCACATTGCAAGTTCTGCAGGGTATGAAAATGGAAGTACTGGTACAAAACGGAGTCCCACAAGGTGAAAGCTCATGAAATAGCATTTGAGGTGGTTGTGTCTCTGAGCAAGAGCATCTCAGTTGTTACTAGAAGTCTCTAAAGAGCGGGAGTAAAGGCTGTCATCGATTTTTAACTTGGGCAGGCAATCTCTGATGCAGTGTAAAAGCATTTTGTTAGTGCTACTTTCAAATCTTAGCACACGTGATACTTGAAAAATGGTTTATGCAATGGATTTGCTGTTGTTTCTTCATACCTTCAGGATGTTTTTGTTTTGGAAGATTCAAAGATTCAGTACTTTTTTTGAAACGAAATTTACAAAAGTGGTAGATATCACCTCTAAGTTCCCAAGGCACGTGGAGGCAACATTTCTCTGCAGAAATTCCTTCGCAAAGATTCAGTACTTTTTTTGAAAGGAAATTTACGAAAGTGGTAGATATCACCTCTAAGTTTCCACGCACATGGAGGCAACATTTCTCTGCAGAAATTCCTTCCTGGCATGGAGAAGAGGGGTGTGCAAGGAGTGGTTAAAAAAAAGAGTGAGAAGGACTTGAACACAGGCAGTGCAGGTCATGCTCGTACCAGGTGAAGTGCATGGCGAAAGGCAAGGTCCAGCTCCTGGTCTGAATCTTGCCTGTCGCTGGGGTCCGTGTCAGCGTGTCGCCGCAGGCTGTGCCCAGAGCAGCAGCGCCAGGGCAGCACAGCCTGGGACGTGCCGCCCGGGCAGGTACGGACGTGGTGGTTCTGCTGCTGTTGAACAGGACTTGGGGCTCCAAGTCTCTTGGTTGGCTTCTGGAAAACCCCGTTTGTTGCGGCCTCGTCTCGTCGCCTCAGTGTACTTCTTGGGGATATTACAGGAGTCAAACATCTGCCCGTCCTTCAGGGTGTGTTTGGTATGTGGTCACTTTGTTGGAGTTGTTAATTTTGTTAGTCTGTCAAAGATTGGCACCCAAGCTGAAATGTGCACGTCTTTTTGTGTTATGCTTACAACAATTCCCTGTAAAACTTCAGTTGTTTGTTGTTTTCCCACATAGCACAGTTGACAACGTGGGGCAGAGTTGTTCTTGTTTTCTGATTTTTGTTTTTCTTTAAGCATAAACCAATCTTAAGAACAGTGTGCATTAAATACACGTGCTACCCGTGTACTTCAAAATTAGGTATTTTTTTTTTAACCAATGCATTTTGATTGCTTAGAAACCCAGAGCTGGATTGACTGGGTGTTGGTCAGCTGGCAAGACAAACCATGGCTAACAGAGTGTATGGGGAGCTCCGCCTGCTCGGTGGGGACAAAGTATAAGGGTTTGATTAAGACTGAAACTCCAGCTGAATGTTTCTGTGTGGTTTAATGACAGTATTTGGAATTACAACTCACGAAGTTCTTACTGTCACAACTCACAAAGTTCTTACTATCACAAAACTTTGGAAAAAAAAAAAAGTGTGGCCAGTTGGATTGTAAGAACTTTTTTTGTGTTAGAAATACACAAAGTTGCTTTCTTTCTGAGAGAAAGTAATTTGTGCCCAAATTGTTATGTGTCAATGAGCAGTAAAAGCATCGATACCCATCTTGCCTGTTGACCTAACCCTTGTCTGCGGAGTTGACAGTATTTTAGCAGTTAAAACCTGAAATGAGGCTGTAAGTTTGTTTCTGTTGCATAGTCAAGGGGATTCTTCTCAAGCCTTGTCAGTTTTTGAGGCATTTTCAAGGTATCGTTTTATTTGATGTCTTTTAGTAGCTTAGCGGAGTTGGATGGCTCGAAAACGTCTCTGGAGTGACGTTGCATATGAGAAGATGGATCAGTGAGTTTGACGTGCCACAGGGGCCCATCTGGAGCTTGGCCGTGGTGGCCACAGTGGTGCCGCTGCCTGACCTTACTGGATCTCCGCCGGATTCTGACTGGTTTGGGGGTGCGGCACTGTTCCCTCCTGACTCCTGCGAGAGATTAATCATAGGAGCGGCAGCGACGAGTTTAAATCTGGCATCTTCCTGGTGTCGGGCGTTTTAACTTGGCGATGGTGGTTCCAGTTTGTGAACTGGTCACAACGTGGCGTGCTCCCCACGCCCTGGCTCAGTCGAGGTGGGGTGTCCGGGTGCGCACAGTATGCCTGTCGCGTCGTCTGGTGACGATGTGCCTCCTAACGGCTTTGGCTTTTCAGAAATAGGTCGAGGAGCTTCGCTGCCAGGCCTGGGGAACGTTCTGACGCTGTAAATGCTGGGATTAAAAGCCTGTGTTTGACGCCTTCCACGAGCCCGAAAGCTGGTCTGTGCGTTGAGAGGTGAGTGTGCCTTCAGTCCGGGGGCGGGAGGGCACGCTGCAAGCTGGCTTTGGCCGCTCACAGTTCCTGCGTGCGTACCTTGGTGGAGATTTCCATGTCGGATGTTGGGAGTTGAATAGATAAGAGCTGCTTTCCTGGCCTGCTCTGTGATCCCTTCTAACGCTTTCAGGCGCGCCTTTCCCTCGCCTCCCTTGCCACGTTCAGAAGTACCGTAGGTTTCCCAAGTCGTACAAACCCTTCAGCGTCAGCTTTGCAAGTCGTGGGCCGTGGGGTTCCTCAAGAACGAGAGTGGCTGCTGCCTTGCTGCGGTAAACGCCCGCTTGGGGTTAAACTGGTGGTGTTTCTCCTGGTGTTTGTTGCTTTGTACGGAGAGGCCGGGGATGGCGGAGTGGGGTGAGGGGGCAGGAGTAAGGTGGCTGCTGCCTGTTTGCTGCGGGGTGAACACTTCCCTCCCTGACGGTGAAGAGGCACTTTCGGTGTAATTGTCAGTTGTTTTCTTTTTGAAAGTCTGTTGTGCTTCTAGAAAAAACATCTAAGAATGTGTTACATAAGAGATGAATTAATTTTCTTTGCTTTATACATTTTGTAGCTGCCTGTGTAGGCATTTCTGTGTTTGCCGTTGGATGCCCCGTTCATCCCTTACGCTGTTAGTTTGGTGTGACAGACAAGAGAAAAAAGAAAAAAGAAAAAAATCCTTCCTATCAGCTTCCTTCAAAGAAAAAAACCAATATGGTTGCAAAAACTACTGTTGAGAATTCTAGATCGAGCATATTGTTTTAGCTAATTTGCAGCTTTTTAAAGGATCATTTCTGAATTCTTTCTGGAATAACGGCTTTGGGCTTAGACTGCGAGTTGCTTCACGTAACTGCGAGTTTCGGCACAGTTGCCTCTGCTAGTGCAACCGAGATTCTGAGTTTTAATACAAACCTTGGAGTATTGCCGTTATTACCATTCTGTGCTTGGAAGCTATATGCTCCTGGAATGAAGTGTTATAAATCAGCAAGTGTAAATGACACGGCAGCGAATCGACAAGAGGCAGAGCTGAGGTATTGACTTTCGCAGCAGCTTGTGTTCTCCATGGTGGTTTTGATGTTGCCGTGCTATCAGGCTCCAAAAAAGCTAGAGTACGAAATCCATCTTTTTGGAACTCTGTGCAGTTGCCAGGTACTGCTCGAAGGGTCTGAGGCTTCTGTAACACCAAAATCACGGTGGCTCGTCTCCCGGCCGTGTTGCGCTGCTTGTGCTTAGGCTGGCACCTGCATTTTGGGCAGCAGATGCACAGGAACGTTCCTGTTCTCGAGGGGCCGCTCAGCTCTTAGGTTGAAGTTCACGTCTTTCTGTTGACATGCATGAAAACTCTACGATCCCCCTCAGCACCCGTGGTTTGAAGGTTTTGATGAGGCGGAGCATGATCTCACTGCTTGACTCGGCCGTTTCTGTGCTGGTGCATCCTGAGACCAAACACCCCAGGCAGGAGGAGAGTGAGGCTCCACGGTTCTGGCCAGCGGTGCTGGGTGTGGAGCAAGTGTTAAAATCAGGGTACGAGCAGTGGGAAGCTGAAGTTGAATGAGGTAGTTTCGTGTCAAACTGGGTTAAAGTTAACAAAGTTCACTGAAAATGCAAACGCATCCCTTTCCGTGGGATTGTGCTGTGCCACGTGAATAGGTTGTGGTGAATTCTTTTAGCCAGTGTCTGATACCAGAGAGACAAATCAGACCCTAAACTCGGCCAAGTGTTGATTTGTGTATTTACAAGCTGATAGTTGCCGTCTCTTTTGTTCTGTGCTCTGGTTTGGAGCAAAATTAAAATCCTTTGCTGTTGTCCTTTCTGGACCTTGCAGGCAAGCCTAACAGTGTTTCTCTTCCTCTCGTTTCCCAGCCTGCCGTCAGAAATGCTGCTGAAGATCTTTTCCTATTTGGATGCTGCGTCCCTGCTGTCTGTGGGTTGTGTGAATAAGCACTTCTGTCATCTGGCCAGCGACAAGTAAGGGAGCGGGAAGCACCAAGTGGCAGTCTTAATCGCGCAGCAGTTGAGTTCCCCTGAGTTAGGGGCTTTTCTGACTTAGTTTCACTGGTGCCAGAGCACTGATGCAGGTACCTGCTGGCAGCTGCTCTGCTGAAACTGTCCTGCGTAGCTCACGGTATGGTGGTGTGTGGAATTCTGGCTGTGCAAGCCCTGTGAAGTTTAGTGGGAATGTTTATGAGGTGGGAACTAAGTGCAGAGTTTTGAAATGTTGCTCTTAGCATTTATGTTGTTGTAAAATTTGCATATATGTCTTTGTGTGCAGGTACACAAAGGCCTTTTGGTGCAGGCAATCCTTAGAGATGTGTAGCCAGTAGCTTTGTAGAGTTTTCACAGCTTTTCATGCTTTTGAAGTCCTACTCGTTTAGTTCTTTCATCAGGTTTTTGCAGAGGGTTTCATTTGGTCAAGTGATTCACTAGTGGGTTTTTCCTGTTGCTCTTTTGACTAATTTTAGTGACTTCCAAATGAAAAGAAAAAGGGGGTGAAGATAAATAACACATTTTTTTTTTGTAAGCGATTGCTAATACAGAGTTATCAAATTGCTCCTACCTGTATCACAACAATTTTGTGAAAGGATCAAGAGGAGAGACCCTGGTTGGTATGCAGTAACTAGCATGTCTCCATATCCTTTTTTTTTTCTAGGATTCTGCCACGTTAGTGTTGTTGAAATGACAAAATGTCTTCCTGTATAGGAAGTTGCTGCGTTTGACGTTGTCTTACTGTATAGGAAGTTGCTGTGTTTGGCGTTCATCCATTTCTCACTTATTTGCCAAAACCTGTGCAGTGAATCGGTTAATGTTGGCACTGGCACCTTTGGGACTGGTGAATTTAAAGGGAAGGCCACAATCTAGATTTATTTTTTGAGCCTGTCAGCAGGTGCATGTAGATAAAAATTGCATGGCCGACACGAATTGTGTATCTTAATGTGTGTTTTCCACTTCAGGGCAGTGAGGCAGGATAAAATCTTTGTGGCTGTTCAAGGGAAGCTGGTTCATCTGTCTCCATCTCGACAATGCCTGCTTCCGTTTTCTAATCTCCACAGAGATTACTGTGTGTGCACAAACGGGATTCGAGGGAGAGATACTTCCCCTTATCTCGGAGACTGGCTGGTTCAGTGGGAACAGCTCACTTCTTCCCGCTGGGTTCCCTGAATCTTGTGGTGAATTAACAGAAGTTTTCACCGAAGTCCCTGCATATCTCTGTGACAAATCTGACCTTGGTTTTTAGGCAGAGTATCTTTTTGAGGACATTTCTGCTGTCCTTGATGCAGCAGGACCTTGGGTCTTTCATCGTGGTACATCTGTGCTGCCTAACAGAGTGCTTTGCCTTTGGGCTCTTCAAATCACGCCTGTGCTTTAACAGCTCCTTGGCACTGGTGGCTTCAAGGTAGCTGTTGAAGGCAAGGAGATGTTTCTGACCCCCCTTTCTGCACCCTTCTGGCCCCGGCATGCGGTGTTATTCCAGCCTTCCTGTCAGGCAGTGTGGGAAGGTCGCACCGATGGTCTGTCCAAAAGCCTGAGGGTTTTGATCACCAGCAGAAAGTGCTTGTATGAGAGGAGGTGAGAAGCCAGAGCAGAGGGGAAGATCTTTTGGCCTTGCCCAGAGCTCTTTCCCACTGTGGTCAAGTAAGTTTGTGTCTGATTCTGGCATTTGAGTCAGCAGTAAGAGCTTGGGTTGGCTCCTTGTTACAACATCCAGTAAGAGGCCTTGAGATAAATATTCTACTTAACACTTTGAGGCAAAAGTGGGACGTATTCTGCTGTGAAAGAGGCAAAGTTGTGCTTCCCTGATGGGTGCCTTTTTGATTTGCCTGCCCTGAATTCTTCAGAAGTTGAGGATAACGGGGCAGTGATACCTCCCTAAACACTTGTGATTCCAAGATCCCCCTTTTTTTTCTCCTCTGCTTCCTTGCCCTGACTGAATTTGTGAGCTTCTTGAACTGATTTCTCATCTGCTTGCACGATTCTGGTTTGGGACGAAGCAGAAGGTAACTGAGAGGGAGGAGAAGGGTGGTAGGTGTGGGTGGCAACTCTGTCTTCAGCTTAAGTCGCCTGAGACTGCACCTTCCAAATGCAGGAAAGGGCCAGTACTAAGCCCTGTCTTTTCAGCATCGTGCAGCCAGATGCTGAGTATCTCTCCCTGTGAAAGCAAGGATGTCTGTCTTGGGAAGGCATTTCTAGTTAACAGGAGAGGGTTGTAGGAGGATGTTGTGCTGGACTTTTTAGGCTGAATGAGACCAGTTGGATGATACACAGCGGAATTTCCCCTGATGGTGGTGTCTCAAGGACATCTCTGTTGTCATCATCCCCCAGTTCTTAGCTGCTTTGGGGTTAAATGAGAATTTCCTCCCTCTGTCTGAAATATTTTATACTGATAGCTGGGTTGTCTTTTCTGTTCTGGTCTCAAAATTGAAGTATCTTAAATCTTTGTTCTCTCTCCCCCCGCCCCGATTTTGGTGAAAGGAAAGATGGAAGCTCATGTTGACTGTGACCCCCCACCACCACCCTTTACCAGTCACAGAAGCTTATGGGTCTGTGTGTTTTAAACAGCTTTGACTCAAAAAATGGCAGTGGGAGACTGTGTGTCTGCAGAGAAGCAGGCTGGAAGGTTTTTGCAAAATTCCCGAGTACGTTTGCATCAGTGACAAAGAGCCTGAATGCTTTAGTGCTTTGAGGAGGGGAAAATGCATTCCAAAGCACGTTAGTGGGAGTTTGCCTGGGGATAAGTGAGGACTGGTGAAGGTAATCTTGCTGATAAATGGTAGAGAATTCCTCTTGAGGATTTGTTTCTGTTGCTATTAATTTTCTTTAGTGCGGTTATGTGGACTGTGTGGCTAGTGCTTTAAAATTAGAAAACTTACTGGAGACCTTTGTTCCCAGATTGTTTGAATTCTGGTAACTCCTTTTACTCAATATTCCCTGAACTGTCCTAGAGCTACTGGGGTGTATTTCTCCTGACAGGAAAGAGGTGAACCCATCATTGCTGTTGCGTGTTTCTTTGATCTCTTCACAAAGACATCTCTCCTCTGAGCTTTTCAAAAGAGAGCGCAGAAGGGATTGACATGACGGTGGTACCACCACCGAACAGAGGTGATTATAAATGGCCTCCTCCACCCCACTTTCAGCTGGAGCCGTGTGAGAAACTTGAGGGGTTCAGGTTGTCTTTGCTGAGTAAGAGGGATTAAACCACTTTGTCCAGTAGCTGGTTTTGTGTGAGGTGGATGCATCGTTGTTTTGGGGTGGAATTTTCAAAAGTAACTGCTTAACCTTCATCAGTTTTCACTTCAGTCACTGAGTGTGGCTGTGCTGCCTCGGAGCTTCGCCCTGGATCCTGTGTTCTGGGGAAGACAGACATGACTTAGCTGTTCTTGTTGCCTCAGGGTAGCTTTCTCTCAGACATGTATGATTTTGTTGTGTTGGTTTTTTTAATTAAAATCTGCTTCAGTGTCTGCGAAGGAAGGAGCAGCATAAGGGGAAGGAAGGCTTTTTAAAAGCTGCGGTGTGCTGTTGAGAGGCATGAAACAGTGAGCAGTTCCCAATATCGGCTGACCCTGTTTTCTAGAGCATGAGTAGTTGAGATGTTTATCAACCTTACTGGCAAATGGGAAGAATGAACTGAATAACTCTTTTTTTTTTTTTTTTTTTTCTTTTTTTTTTTTTTTTTTTTTCAGAAAGTCATAAGTGGATCTCGTTTGGTAGGAGGTATAACCCAGAATAAGAAAGGTGTTCAGAGAGTCCGCATTTCTTGAGATAACCTGGGAGAACTGCTGACATCCAGCATCTTTGGGTTCCTAAGCCTTCGTGTTTGCACCAGGGAACCTGACCTCATGTGAGCTGTTGGAAGGTCAAAATGGGGGACAGTGTACAACTGTGCCTTTGCATTTTCGGGACTGGTACCCAGGAGGCTACAGTTTCTAATCTGCTACACTCTTAGCTTGAGATGAAACCCGGGTTGCTGATCATCTAGGGCTTTGTTTTTCTGCTAACACTGTGCTCAGTGGTAGCCGAGACATGCATGTAAGAATAATTAAGTAACTCTTCTTGAAATTTATGTGGTTTTCTGCTTTATTCTATTTTTATTTTCAGTGGCATCTGGCTGAAAATCTATTCCAGTTGTTTTCAACCAAAAAGGACAATTTGGAAGATGAAATCGGAACAAGCAGAAACTGTTTCCCTGGGCTGTGCTGCTCTGCCTGATAGAAAGCCTGGGTACTGGAAGAAAGAATACATCTCCAAACAAATAACTGCTGTCAAAGCCAGAGTAATGCGACTTGTTAAACCTGTAGATCCTTATACAGGTCTTCCACGTAAAACCAAAGAAGCTGTGAAGTAAGCAATGCCTTGTCACGGGCAGTACGCCCTCGGGAGCAACGTACAGCATCTTGATGGCTTTGGAAATGCTGGGGGGGTATGGAAATAGAGCTATAAAGTGTCTGTCATAATGGGAAGGTACAATGATAGCCCCTAAATGACCTAGCCAGAGAAACCTAAGTAACAGGAGAAATTTAAAAATTCCGTTGGAAACACAGTTTAAGTTTTGTCATTTTGAGAATTATTTTTTTTATTACTATTTTTAAACACCCCCCTCTCAATTTCTAAATAACAGAGCCTCTGGCTTGAGTTGGATAATTGTTCTGGAGGACAAAAGTGGAATGAAACACGTAATGGAGAAGGCAAAGCTGTCGTTTAAGGAGGCATCTGTTACTGTGCTTTGGTACAGTGCAGACTGGCCGTGCTTGGGCATCCTGACCACCCTGAAGCTCTTCGGGGTTACGCCGCTGCTGCCTGCCCACAGCAGAGCTCCCAGCAGGAGCGGGTGAGTTCTAACAGGATTTTTGGTGGGGTTTTGGTGCCGTTGGTTGGTACTGTGTCTGTAGGAGCTATCTGACCTGGGTTTGACTTAAGAAGTTGGTTCTTTCTCAGAAAGCCTCTCTGTAATCTTCCTTCCAAGGCCTGTGTCCTTCTCTTCACTGGTGGAGCTTTTTAGCAATAAATAGATACAACCCAGCAAGCTGTGACATTAAAAATCCATAGGTTCATGTAGCTACTGGCGTGCAAGATACAGGCTGGTGGGTCCTGCCTTGGGAAGCCAAAGGTAAGGCATAGCTGCAAATGGGCATGAAACACAAATCTAGGAGAGTTTAGTGTGAGACACTTAGATTGGAACAGTTCATCAATGTTTATGTGGCTACAACCAGGTACTCCATGTTACTAACATTTGTATTTTTCTATCTGATAGGTGGGTGTGTGCATGTAGGGAACTTGGTGTTTGGCTGCGTGTATGTAAGGAAAAAAGAAGTCCCCAGCACAGTGTGGGATAGCTGTTGTTTTGTGTGTGCAGTACTTTTATGGCATTATATTCTGAAAAGAAGCTGCTTAAATTATAAATATGTATTTGAGGCATGTATGTATTTTGTTGCTGTCAAGGAGTTTTCCACATGTCTGTGTCTTATGTGTCATTTCAGCCTATGCAGGATCAGCTACGTGCTTCTAGCAGTACAGCTCTGAAAAGAGAGAATTGTTGTTCACCTACCAAAAACATGTTCCTCAAGCAGAAGCAAAGTATTTACCTAAAACAATAATCAAGAGAAGCCTTTTGTGTAGAGTCAGCTAAACAGGTCTTGCGGTCCAATTGTGTGGGACATGCAGTTGTTTAACCAAGATGATTCCTACGTAGAAAGTAGTAAAAGAAAACCCACAGGCAGTCAGGGTGTTTGTTTCACAGAATCAGAAGTGGTTGGAGCTTGTGAGTATACATGAAGGTAATGATTTCACAAACATCAGAATGTTAAGTCTACAGGGAGCTAGTGCAGGACTATTCATACCAGCCTGACCGACTTAAAGATGGAAAGGGTCGATGTCCCGTCCCTGCCCCAAATCTTACAGTCCAAGGTAACGTGACGCAGTTCCCATCGGTGGCTGACCTCCTGGCGGTGTGTAGTGGTCGGTGGTACTACTGTGATACTCCTGGGAGATCTCGTGGGATATAGTAAGAGCCTAAGGCTGCAAGGGGGTTGAGAAAGAGTTATTTCTCCGTTCTGAAGAGGTAACCCAGGCTCCGCTCTCTGCTCTTCTTTATCCATCATCAGCCGATAAGAACGCTCGTGAAGTGTGAACTTTAGTTAAAGGGTGTTAGGCAGCTAAACTGCTTTAATTGCAGGCAAAATCTACAAATAATTTTCTAAACCAGGAAAGCTTCCTCTAACAGAAGCTTTTAGTTTATTGTATGTACGGTTGGATCCTTTCCTTGGAATTTTGCTCCTGTGGAGGAAGAATTTACCTCCTCAGTACCTTGCTTCATACTGACAAATACTCAGCGATTCCATCTAGTGCCAACACTGTACGAAAGACAACTTATAAAGCCATTCTGTGGCTATTTTGAAATACTGGGCAAGCATGTAAGTCTTTCTTCTTTTTAAAGTGGTGTATTAGGCCATCCTGTGGTGGCTTTTGTTTCCTCTCTTGTTGGGTGTTGAGGTCCTGCTGTGGTTGTTCAGAAGTGAAGTTTATGGCTGTGCGTGCCAAGTGCTTTCAAAACCCTTTTCATCACGTGCTGGTGGTCAGGTGTCGGCGTTAAAAATGAGACTAGGCTGAACTTTTACGTGAGTGAGGAGACGTAGTCTCGTTGCTACATTCTGGATGTTCTTTTCACAGACCTCGTCGACGTTCCTTAGTTGCTGAGTACCATCTTGCTGACCTGACTGCAGGTAGTGCAGCAGTTGGTGCTGATAAGCTCGTCCAGCTCTTCAGCCTGGATCCGGGACTCTTAGTAGGACTTTGGAAGGTAAGGTAACATTTTGTTTCAATACTTGATTGTGACTTGAAGAAGCAGGTTCTTTTCCCTTGTAGTTTGGGATTTGGGGAGTCTTTTGGGTTTTGGGCGTTTTTTTCTTCATCTTTTCTTCTTTGGATTTTGACAAATCTTGTCTAAACTAACAACAAGGAAGTACAGGTAGGGACAGCTAGTTGATGGTTTATTGTACTCTGAAGAGCTGCCACAGGAGTATCTGCACTTTTCAGAACAACGCACCTCTAATGAAGAGAACTGTCCAGTATTGTAGTGTGTTAGATCCTGCCCTGATCCTGTTTCTGTGTTCAGCTGTGTTTATTTTGCAGTCTTCTCATGCCCAAGTTTGACATCCTACAGATGTTTTAAATAGATCGGTTTGAGGAGAGGTGTGCTTCTTCCCCTGGCTCATGCCTTGCCCTGTCCCCATCACTCAAAGTGATGGATTCCCACGAGGCAACTTTGCTAGTTGTTTCCTTGAATCTACATCACCAGGTAGTCGTATCTAGCCGTAGGAGCGCTGTAAATCGTGCCCTTTTGGGGATATTCAGCTCTTGGTATTAAGTGTCTAAGTTAGGGGGTTCAAAACCACAGGAGTGTTTGTTTCACTCTTACTTAAAGGTCTCCATTTCCTAGAAAACTTGATTCTGGCTGACCTGCCTGAGCCTGGTACGGGTTGTCTCAATCTATGAAAAGCCTCGATAAGTGAACGGCCGTTTCTTTTGTGTCTTCAGAAGTTTGGTAGATTTGGTGTCCCTGTGGTCTGTGGCCTGGCTAGCGCATTGCCCCTTCCCCGGCTTGGAGAGGGGGCACTTCCAGCACCTGGAAATGGTTCAGCCATAACTAAGGTCCATAAATTTGTTAATTAGCGAGTGCCTCACTCTAGTATATTTTCCCTGCTTGCTTTTCTGAACAGCTGTTGTTATTCTCTGTGTGGGCAGAGCAACATCAAGCAGTTAACCGTAGATGGGTGTAGTAACCGTAAATGCCACAAATCTTGGGGTTTTACACCAGTTTTTTACGCAGGTTAGCTGACTAACAGAAATTGTTGACGCTGGTAGTTTTAACAACTAGGGACAAGTTATGTGGGCCTTCTGGTATTTGGATAGAGAAGGGCTGAGAGACTCTGTGACTGATAAATCTCTGTCATTAGCTATTTCATAGCTGTAATTTTGCACTTCAAAAGTGCAGGAGTAGCTAAAAAAAAAAAAGTTTGAGTAAGGGATGTAATTTTCTGTTTGGTAACGCAGAGAGATGGAAACAATAGCTGTCCACTTCTCAGGACAGTAGCAGGCTGCTGGCAGTGAATAATTTTGCTGTTGACTTACGTGTTTGCAAATGTAGGACTTAAAAATGCGTTTTTCCTTAAAAAAAAAAAAAAAAAAAAAAAGCTGAAATCCTAGCTTTCTTTGTTCTTGAAGTAAATGGATACCTTTGGCTCTGTTTGGTTCTCCCCTGGAGCTCTGAAGTTCGCTCGGAGCCCGCGGAAGGTACGTCTTGCCTTTTTCCCGGGAGTCCGTAATCAGGCGCAGACGTCTGGGGTTTTGCTCTGAAATTCGGTATTTCTGTTGGCTGGCTCGGCGCTCCTCAGCGGTGTCAGCCCTCCGCACACGGCGCCTCGCACGCGGCAAGCGGCTTGGTGCTGGGGTGTTCGGCAGCTGGGCCTAAGGCCTGTTGGGCTGCAGGTGTCTGGTTTGAAGTGGTAAGTGGAAGCTAGAGAAGTGCAGTTCGTGGGCTGCTGCTGCTGCTTTTTGCCCTGGCACAGCTCCTTTCCCTCCCTTTCCCCAGGGTACATGTGATCTTTAACGTGTGTTTTGTACTCTGGTGAAAAGACAGTAGCGGCTGGAGGAGTCTGAGTGTTAAAGCAAGCCATTATTAACGTTATTACAGTAACTGGCAGAGTAATAAGCAGCAGCATTTATCTATGAATTTTAATACCCAGGAAGACCTTGTGGAAAAAAAACCTATTTCCAGATGAAAATGCATCTACTGTAATTAACTTTTCAGGAGGAAAATGAAATTGCTTTTGTTATGGCGAGCCTTCATTATCATCAACTTCTCGAGAGGAGCACTTTGGGTTCTGCTACTGCGTAAGTTTTGGTTTCTCCTTTGTGGGTAATAAAGATAACCTTTTGAATAAAGCTTTGAGTTAAAACTGGCTGCTGGTAAGAGCTTTATGTTTAGGCAGTAATTAACTATTCTTGTTTAATACAAACCACAGTTACAGTAATGGTATGCGAAGCTGTGGAAGTATTTTCATACCAAAGCGTGACTATTGTTGTGCTATTAAGGAGATAATTTACTCATACAAGTGTACTAGTACTTGCTGTGTTGAGAAAGTTTGGAATGCACTGTCCATACTTTCTCCCTTTTCACAAGCAGTCTTTTTATCCCTCATCTTGTCTGAAAGACCTCGAAAAGCAGGAAGACCTTTTAGGAAGCAGGAAAATAGTCTTTAGCGGTGTAAGAGGGGAGAAAAAAAATGCTACTAAACTGGTAAGGTGCCTGCATTTGTCTTTGAGTCTTATTGAAAAACGAGTGGGGTTTCCTAGGAAGTATTTGTGCATATTGCAGTGGATGGTGAAATAACTGTTTATACACTGTGAACTGTTTCAGAGGATGGAGGCTTTTAGCTTTAGAGGATGATTTGTGGAATTTATTTGCCCCCCTCAGCTTTCTGCTCAGATGCAGTTGTATCTACCAGTAGTCTCGCCTGCCTCCTGTAGTCTGCCTCTTCTCACCCGGAAGGTCGGGCTTGGCACCATCTCCCTTACTACCAGAGAGGATCCTACGTAGGAGCTGCTCAGTGGCCTCTGGGGTTTGGGCTCTTCTGGTCCTCTGTGTGCAGTGGTTTCTGGTTTAGGTTGGGCACAGACAAAATGACCCCATAGCTGCTAGTGCAGAGCGGTCTGTCGGGAGCTGGCTTGCAGATTTGTAGCCAAGCTGATGCATTTCTTCTGCCCGAACAAGTCCATGTTTTGGTGTTTAGCAGGTGTACCTTGACTGCCCCATTTCCTGCCTTTGGCTAGGCTGGGCAGCTGGTTAGGAGTGTTAGACACTGGGTTGGACAGTTCAAAAAAAGTATGATGAACTAGAGATGTTTGATTTTTTTCAAAACCATTAGTAAAGAAGAAAAGCTGTATCTTCTAATAATTTTTTCCCCTCTTACAACCTCTCCTAAGATGATAGTCTCAGTGTAGGGCTATTTACTGTAGCTCTGTTACGTCATTCCCCCTTGCTTAATTCTGTTGTGATGATTTTTTTTTTGAAGTCGGTACGCCCTCCCGCCTCGCCAGCCTGTGGGGGATGATGTTGACCCGGAATACGGGCTGCATGGCTACAGCCTGCATCTCGATGTGCACGGTGGGAGCTGCACCTCCCTGTGTGGGACGTTCAGGAGCCTCTTCTGCAGGAAAGGTAGAGTTGACAGAACCGTTTTTAAAATGATCCCTGCTGTGTTGTACGTCTTCTATCCAGCATCTCTGTTTTAAGGGGGGAAGCTGAAATGGATTTGGAAGGGTAAGCTATCTTTGTTTGTCGTGTGATTTCGTTATACCTGCGCTTGCCGGCTGCGGAGGCTGTTACACTGCCGTGGTGTCAGGCCTGGGGTGGAAGTTCTGCAGCCTGGCAGGATATTTTTGCTTGGTTCAGCTCAGTGGCCCAGGTTGTGGTGCAAGCCTTGCGCTTGTTGTGTGCCGCAAGGGAGAGCGAGCTTGTCCTCCTATGTGTTGGAGACTGATTTCCGCGGAATTCTTCTCAAGTATGCTGTAGGTGCGTTGGCAGATTAAATATTTAAATGCATTTGTGGAAGATACTGTGAGATTTAAGATTTAGAGCTTTTATTTAGGTCAACTTCAGGTTGCCTATTCTGACATCCTTCCATTGTGTAATAGTTTCAGTGATTGTTTTTAACTGTGCTGCTTTTTTCCAGTTCTTAACGTTTCTTTCAATGAGAGGTGATTGGCTGTCCTTGTTCACGTACAGCCCAACTTAATAGTTCTACTGGGGTTTTGCAAAATAGGTGGGTGTTCTCTCTTCCGACTTAACTTCAGCCCAGCCCTGCCTACAGCTACACAGCTCTTTCTGTCGGCAGAGACAGCTTAAGGTATTAAAATTAAACGATTATAATTAAACAGTGTAAATTGATTATTGATTTCAGAAAATCCTGGTTTTGATGAAGACAGCAGAGGGCACTGTTACCAGGCTTGAGTGCTTTTACAGTGTTAGAACAAATTTCCCCACGACTTTCTTAAGTTTTAATTTGTATTTGATGACTCCAAGAACTGTCATTCAGACTGTAGCCTTGTGCACAGCGTGGACTGTGGTAGTCCTTTGATTTTGAAACAGTGCATGTTTGCAGATTCCTGAAGAGCTCCAAGCTTGTAACAGAGCCATATTTATAAGGGTAAAACTTCAGTGACGTTCTACCCATGTAGCAATAGGAATCTCTCCTGAGGTGTTCTTCAAGGAATCCTCTTTGTACCCTCAGGAAAAAAAAAAAAAAAGACTTTATTCTATAATGGACAGGGGGTTGGGTGTTGAGTTTTGGGATGTGTTTTTCCGTTTTCTTTTTTTCAGGTGAATCACAGAACGGTTGGGGTGGGAAGGGACCTCAAAGACCACACAGTTCCCACCCCCTGCCCTGGGCAGGGACACCTCCCACCAGAGCAGGTCGCTCCCAGCCCCATCCAGGCCTTGAGCCCTGCCAGGGAGGGGGCAGCCACAGCTCCTCTGGGCAGCCTGTGCCAGGGCCTCACCGCCCTCACAGGGAAGAATTTCTTCCCAAGATCTCACCTCAATCTCCCCCTTTCAGTGTGAAACCGTCACCCCTCGCCCCATCGCTGCCCTCCCTGATCCAGAGTCCCTCCCCACCTCTCCTGCAGCCCCCTGTCAGCGCTGGAAACTGCTGTAAGGTCTCCCTGGAGCCTTCTCTTCCCCAGGCTGAACACCCCCAGCTCTCTCAGCCTGTCCTCGCAGGAGAATGTCAAGTTTCCTTTTCCAAAACGAAATTTCTGTGCTTCTAGCACTGCAGCTCCACCAGAGGAGGCAGGCCGTGGCACACTCTCTTCGTGGGTGTCGCTTTTTTGCTGGTTGGAGGCTACTTCTGCTAAAGACTGAGCTGATGTTTATGCAAGTCGCAGCGAATGTCCGGGAGCTCCGGGTGTGATGCTGTCTCGCTGTGCTAGTTAGAGGATCTGTTTTCCGCTCACGAGCGTTTTCTGCACCGTTCCGGGTTTGTGTCCTTGAGCTGTGCGACAGCCGCCGGCTCCTGCTCTCGCAGGACACCAGCCAGCTGCAGCCGCGGGTCTGCGGGCAGCGAGCTCGTTTGTCACCTCGTCCCTTCCTCCTGCTTGCACAGTGATTCCTTTTGGAAAATGCTTGATTTCCTCCATAGTTTGTGTTCAAAAACGATGTCGTGAGGCAGCTTACGGCCGCTGCCACGTAGCTTTGCGGTAATTTGTTGTTCACTTCACTCTTTCTGGTAAACGTGATGTTTCTGGATGTGGTCAGCAGCGCAGGTTTGTCCAAGCTGGTTGTTTCTGAGGGTTTGTGCTTTGATTTTAAGCTCCGTTCTGGTGATGCTCCTTGTCCCGCGCTCCGGGAGGGCTCTGACGTAGCGAGGAGTCTTGCTATTTCTTAACATTCTCTACCCAGGAATTTTAAATGATGGATGTGACATGCCAGTGGGACTTTCCACACCTGAGACACAGACCAGTTCTCAGCTGTTACACTGGGGTTTTACTTATTTATTGGTTCCCTTTAGGAAGCTGTAGACACTCCTAGGTTACCAGCCCGTTTGTTACCCTGCAGAATAACTGATTGGTTTGCTGACGTTTGGTTTTGGTTTTGCCTGCTTTTTGTTAGTGTTTGTTAATGTCACGCTTCGTTTTGCTGCTCTATTTTCAATGCTTTCTGCAAGATTCTGAGCACTCAATTAAAAAAGTTGTATCACACTTCATTGAACTGATGATCTTCGGCTTCTGATCTATTTTTTTTTTTTTTTTTGCTGTTATTGATGCTCGCACTGCAGGAACTAGCTGTTTTGCCACTCCGTTTTGGCTGCATTTTAGCATTTTATTTGATGCCTCCTTCCATTTAGACAGACTTGACAACGTGGTCTCATTGACAGATGCTGTAGGGTGAATATGCTAAATGCTTCCAAACGGAACTGAAAGTCCTAGAAAAGTTTTCATGTTTTCAGGAAGCTGTGGCGGGCTGTTCATGTGACTCGTAGAATCCATGAACACTGCATCTAGCTTTTTAATAAACATTCTTGAAATGTGTTTACCTAGGTTTTCAGCTTTTTAAGCATAGCCTTGTAGCCATAGGGTAGTCTAAGGTCTGTTTTTTTCAGTGTTACTCCTTGATGTAAGTCAATGTGTTGTGCTTGCAAAACTTTTGTGTGTCTAGGGGGCTTTTAGGGTTTGTTTGTAAAATAACACGTGTATTTGAAATGTTCTGGCTTGACCTTGAAGATTGATTTGCAAGTTTAAATGACCATTTCAGCAGGTCAGGGCGAGGCTCGTGGCTGCCAGCGGAATTAGTGCTAAGCCCAGCCTTCCCTGTGAAAATGACAGTCAAATCACAACAAAGGCTTGGTTAGCGAAAGAAACTCGCTTGACTTTTAGCGAAAAGAAGTGCCTTTGAGCTCCTGGGCTATGTGTTTCTTTCCCCTGAGGTTCGTCTACGTGATCTACGTTCTCTGTATTAGTATTCCCTTTATTTGGAAATATTTGTTCCCTATAACCTATACTGATTAAAGGGCTGCTTTGCTGCTCTACGTGTCTTGCATAAACTCCGGACTGTAGGTGTTACAAGGGGACAATGAAACAAACTGTAGATCAGGCTGAAGAAAGCCCTGTCCCCTTTGCTTCCTCGGTGGCTCCCTGGGTGTCTTTAACGCAGCTCCTTCCATTTCCTTTCCTCACCTGACAGGCACGAGGAAGGGGAGATGTCAGTACGTGGCACTGCAGCTTCTAGGCATGCTTTTTCTGCCTTCCGGATATGAGGGCTGCAATGGAGCTTTTATATTTAAAAAAAAAAAGTAAAATTATAAAGACTGGATCAACTAACCATGAGTAATTACCCTTCAGATCCCTGATCTGTGTCGCCTATTTCCATTCGGTGAAGAGCTGCAGCGGGGGATTTATCCCTTACCTTAGCCAGGGGACCCATCCAGCAGTGCAGCCATTCAGGTTGTTAATGCCACGCAACAGCAGAGATGTCCTGGGCTTCGTTAATTCATTAGCACTAAGCTTTTTTCGATCTGTTTGTATTCCATTAAAACTTTCATTTGTTTGAACGGAGCGAGAGGAATAGCTGCTCCCATTCAGGTCTGAATGGCAGATAACTGAATAGTCCTTTGGAAAAAAACGCTGGTCCACCGGGGCCGTTGGCAGTCTCATGTGTAAAAGCTCAGCTTTAAACGCGCGCTTTCAGCCTTCGCTCGGCCAAGCGTGACCACTCACCGAAAACGTTTTCATCTTGAGTGAAATCGTGTCGTTGGGTTTGATTTACTGAGGTTGGGGACTGAACCCTTTGGGTAGCTGTTGACTTCATCGCCTTTTCTGCGCTTGGCGCTGGATCCCGAGGGTGAATCCCGCTTACGCTTTCCTCCCCGAGTTCTCGGGGGCTTCGCTGCGAGGTCAGCGGGTGTCGCTGCCAGAAGCGGTGCCTTTTCCCTTCAGCCCTGCTGAATATTTCCTGGGCACAGCCGTGGTGGTTCCCCTGTGTTCGCACCCCCTGTTCCGGCCCCTCTGTACTGAAAACCCTGCTGCCTCCTCCCCACGGGAAGGATTCTTGGGGCTCCCCTGGGCAGCGGTGGCTTTGCAGTGCTGGGTGGTGGCCAGGCGCCTCCGGGGAGCTGCTTGGCCCCGCGGTACCCGTTCAGAGCGGCTCCTGGGGGCTGTGGGACGCTGTGGGCTCCCTCGCTCGCTCCCTTTGCCTCCCGCTGCCCGCCCTCGGTAGCTCCCGGGCAAAGGCTCGTGCTTCTCCTTCCCACGGGCCTCAGCTTTTGGACCCGGAGCCAGCCTTTCCGCTGCTGCTGCTGCCGCCTTCAGCCTCCTGCTGCCGCTTGGCCTCGATGGAAGGAGAACCCCAGGCAAACCACTTCTTGCTTTTGCCACTTGCGTCTTAAAACTCTACTACTCCCTTCAGCTGTCCTCTTGCCATCCAGGGGCTGATGGGGAACAGGAACGATTAAAAAAGTCACTCTCTTCTGGGGGGAAAGGAGGCCATAGCGAAGAAATAGGGTTATGCTTAGTGATAATATTTTTTCTTTTTAAAAATCACAAAGAAATCTTAATAAATCTGTCAAAAAAAATGGAAGCGAGCCTTTGGAGAGCTATTTAAAAAATGAACAAATCCATGATTTAAACCCTGGATTCGAATCAAGGCGTACTGCTTGTCAGTTGGAATGCTGCAGTATCCTTTCCAGGGAGGAGTGGCCGTTACCCGTGTACCCCGCTGCGCAGCCTTACAGGAGCTACCAGACAGAGCAGAGAGATTTTAAATAAAAAAAAACCCAGGAGCGGGGGGGTATCTCATGGTGTGTTATGTGTTGAGCTTGATTTCTGGGGAGTGGGCAGTGATGGGGGCACTGGTGGCATGAACCTGAAACACTGAACGTGGGATTTACTCCTCCCTGCGTCCTTGCGCAAGTCCCTCAGGTGGCGTTCGGATTTTTATACGCCAATATATTAAACTTCTTTCTGGCTGCTGCTTCTGCTGTGGATCACGGGATCATAGCCCCGAACTGGGATTTAAATTCTGTGTAATGTGCTTGATGTCATCGAGCTGTTGGCGTGTGTCAGCGTTGGGTATCGGGGAGCGGGAGGAAACTAAAGACGTGGAGAGAAGCAGAGAGAACATTTACAGTGTGCTTGGGCTTAGTTTGATTTGTAGTCATATAATGTCATATATTGTTAATATTTTCAGGTGACATTGCAGATGGGTATTTGAAGCTCACAGTTGTAAGCTTGAAGGACAACACGAAGCACTTGCCTCTTACTGGGACTCTTGGCTTAGCCTGGGAAACAGATGTGTTGAAAGGCAATGTGAAGGTCAGTCAGAAATAGTTTTTGTTTCGGGAAATGCTGATCTCGAAAGAGAATTGTGTTTATGCATCCTAAATATGCTAATTTAGAAACAATGGTTTTATTTGTGGAAGGTGTCTGCAACTGGAAAAAAAACAAACCCTCAATTCAAATATTGCAAAACTGATGTGAACTTTTAGGAAAAAAAAAAAACTTTATCCTTTTTGTATTAGAGTCGTGATGGTGCGATAGACCCATCACGCATGTGTGAAGACTCCAGCGCTTTCCACTCCGCGAAGATGCTGTGACTGACCAGCACTGCTTGGAAATGCTGGACAAAAAAATGTGCTGCCGATGTGCTTTTGGTGGGGGGTTGGGTTTTGGTTTTTTTCAGGCAATAAGTCTGGAACCCTCGGGGAAATACGGTGCAGTTCTGTCGTCGCTGTAGTGCAGTGTATGTTGGGCAGCAAGAAAGATGGAGGGAGGCTTTTAACCAAGGCCTGTAGTGACAGGACAAGGGACAACGGTTTCACACTGAAAGGGAGGAGATTGAGGTGAGATCTTGGGAAGAAATTCCTCCCTGTGAGGGCGGTGAGGCGCTGGCCCAGGCTGCCCAGAGGAGCTGTGGCTGCCCCCTCCCTGGCAGGGCTCAAGGCCAGGCTGGATGGGGCTGGGAGCGACCTGGTCTGGTGGGAGGTGTCCCTGCCCAGGGCAGGGGGTGGGAACTGGGTGGTCTTTGAGGTCCCTTCCCACCCAAACCTGTGATTCGATGTGATTTACAGCTGTTTGGCAGAATTTTTTTTCCCCATCAAAATAATCATGAGTAGCACATAAAACTCTGGGAAATGAACTGTCAGAGGACAGAGCGGGCTATGGCTGTAGTCTGTAGTTTGGCTCTGTCCTCTGTGCTTACAGCGTAAGTTATACTGAATGTTCTAGGACAAAATAAATAATGCCAATTTTTTTTTAAACCCCTCATTTTGTGGTGAGAGATTGCACATGTCAACACACAGCTGTGGGTAGAATTCAGTTTGGCTTTTAACATAAATCTCTCAAACTCTTAAGATATATGAAGGCCAAATAAAATCAGCCACAGCAGCAGAACGCGCCACTACTATGAATTTATTTGAATTTTGTCCAATACTCTATAAGGAAGAAAAACCACCAAGCTTTTTTTTGGCACTTCTGGGTATTTTTTTGTAAAAAATTAATTGCTGAAGTACAGGTAGTCGGAAATACATGGGAAGAAAAAAAAACCCAATGTTCACGGCCACCCTGCTTCACGTTTCATAATTGGCCTTTGATAGGCAAGATATCAGACCAGAAAACAGTCATTCTTGCTTCAAGTGAATTTATAACTCATATGAGTTACTAAACGGCCATCAGATTTGGTTGAATTTTGTGTTTTCAGCATAGTCTGCGGTAACAAACTTGGGAAAACGGTGTGTGTCACGGTGCCTCTTGTGTTTGTGCCGTCTGCTCTGGGTCGCTTGGTTGAAGGACTCTGATAGTGAGAGAAACGTTAAAGCAGCGGAAGCACAGCTCTGTAGGCCAGTGGAATAAAGCATTCCACATTCATTTTTCCTGGCGTGGAATATGCGATGTTGGTTTGTTTGCGCTTTTGGAGCGTGGCGTGCTCCTGGATGTAATGCGTGTGTACGGCGTAATGAAGATAATCTGATCCATGTAGTGATTCAGAACCCACGAGAGCAGGTGACAGCTGATATTAACAGTGACACGCGACCCGTGTGCTTTTAAGGCACGTGTGAAACCATCACTTCGCAGCTACCCAAGGGCATCGTAAAATGGTGTCATTGCTGTAAAGAAATATTTTCAAGAATTTTTAAAAGGAAGGGTTGTTTGGAGGGTAGAAAGACATACTGCTGTTACCTTTTGGGGAGCAGAAGCGCGCAGCCGTGCAAGAAGCGCCGCGTGCCTTTCATTTATAGCCGGTGTGGGCGGGTGGTTGCTGAGGGTGCCCTGCGTTGGGGCTGGGGGTCTCTCTTTGCAAACACTGCTGCGTTCACGCAAGTTTGGCACCTGAGTTTAAACCCGGGTTCCTTACTGACATTTGTGGTTATTTGAAGGGCAAGGGCACTAACAGTGGAGGCGTGAAAGGCTTAAAAAACGTTGGGAGAAACCACGTCTGATTCGGGTTGGCGGTGCTGCCTGGCGTAGCACCGGTTTTGATGCCTGTGTGTTGCAATTGTGGTTTCTGTGGGAAACCTCTAAGTGTTGGTTGCTTTGCAGTAGTCAGTGGAGCGCTCCCGATTTATATTTTTGAGTTTTTAGCCTTCGTACCAAAAATTGCTGTCTGAACCCTTGGTACTTCTCCTAAAACCAGGGACAGATCTGCTTACTGTGCCGTGGCATGGGAAAATAATCGCTTCTCCTTGTGTCTGTAGGACTGCTGCCTGATGGATGTTACTCTCTTGGATGAAACTGGAAAGCCCTTCTGGTGTTTCAGTGCCTCGGTTCACGTGAAACTGTCTTCCAAGGCGTCCGGCCTTTATGACTACACGGGTCCCATCTACACCACAGACTATGCGGATTCAGAGGGTAAAGTCTGTGCTGAGCTGGTGTGGTTGGAGGAAACCAAGGAGTATTTTTTGGTCGGGTTGGTCCTTTATATAAGCACCACAAAGGTAAATAACTGGTATGGAACAGATTACTGACTGAAGTGGGTCACTGATTTCCCTGCTTTAAAAAAACTTGACAAAAACCACACCAAACTTCTGATGTTTAAAATAGTCACCAACGAGCAAGACCGTTCCTGCGAGGTTTTCAGTGACAAACGCAATTGCGTTTTTATCTTTTTTTTTAATTGGCATCGCAGGGGTTGAGGAGACGTGTTGATATAAACGGATGTTTTTCCTCTCTGTTGAGCATCACGTGGTCGCGAGGCTGTTCCTGGTACTGGGCGTATCGAAGTGACGCGAAGCCTTACATCACGTTTGTCTGTTAGTGCCTCAGGATTTCTTGCAGCTGCTTTTAATGATTTTGTTAGTGTTCCGTACTGAATGTTGTAATTGCATCGTTTATCCAAGTGGTAGGACGATTTCTGTGAGAGAAAGTATAAACGCTTGTAAGCATTAAAAATGTTTTTAAAGATTCCACTTGTATCTCTGCGCGCTTCAGGGACCAACTCGTCCAAGTAAAACCAGAGTAACCACCAGCAACGTTTAAATGTGTGTGTTTAAGTACTCTGCAACAGACAGAACTGCAGTGTTTTTAAAATGGTGCTTTACCTGATAGGCAAGCATAAAAACAGTACTTATGTTTATTTTATTGCAAATATAATAGTGCTCGTTTAGCAGAATGAGTTTAAATTGCCTTGAAAAGGAATCGGTTAGTATGAAAGAGTGATTTAATGGAAGGGCTTTTTTTTGATGATTCTAACAGTGCAGGACTTGCCTTTTTAATAGAACCACATCTAAATGTTAGTCCTGCCGTTTGTCAGTGTTTTGCCAGATGTCTGCTCTGTACCTCGATGCTCCCGTAGTCTGTGTTCTTGGTTGTATTTTTAGGGGTTTTTCTTTGAAAGAGGTAAATGGAAGATGTCTTCAATGAACACTCCATTAATATTCTTGGATGCTTAATGTGATCTTCTGTTGATACAAGCTGGAACTGTGCTGGTTTGTGCCATCTAAAGAATTGTCTTTAATTTTAACCGTGCCGCTCTGGAGTCGTTGCTCGTTACGGCAGTTGGCTTACTGTAGTGGGGAGCTAAGAGCAGCTATATATTTCTGAAGTCTTTGTGGTGCAGGCGAGTAATCACTGGGTTTTTCTCCAAACTGGCCTTTCAGATGGTTTGATTTTTTTTTTTTTCTTCCCACCTTTTTGCAATAGCCATTAGAGAACCAGCTCTGCCCTCGTTGTGCATTTCTGTTCCGGCGTACTTTTTGTGGCCAGCGTGGATTCGCCAAGGGGAAGTCACGCTGACCAGGCCTCCTGGGGTGAGGGGAGAGCCGTGGGTGTTGTCTGCCTCCACTTCAGCCGGGCTTTTGACCCTGCCTCCCATCCCACCCTCGCAGGTGAGCTTAGGAAGTGTGGGCTGGACGAGGGGACGGTGCGGTGGGTTGAGGACTGGCTGAAGGACGGAGCTCAGGGCGTTGGGATCAGTGGTGCAGAGTGCAGCCGGAGGCCTGTGGCTAGCGGTGGTCCCCAGGGGTCAGTACTGGGTCCGGTCTCGTTCAACATACTCATCTGGGACGCGGATGAAGGGACAGAGTGCGCCCCCAGCAAGGCTGGGAGGAGTGGCTGGGAAGTGTTTACCCGTTAAACAGAAAACCACCACACCCCTCACGCCAAGGCGAAAGCTTGGCTTATCACAGTTCGGTATCATCGATATTTCTTCTGTACCAAAGGTAAAAAATACTTTTTTACAAATATGCTGAAAAAAACCTCTTGATGTTCAGAAAACTCTGGAGTTAATGAATAAAGTCAATGTCCTTATTCGTGATTATCAGTGGCTCTTTGTTCATTGTTATCTCATTTGTTCTACGCCACCTTGATTTACAACTTTCCCTTGTTTGTTTTCTGTCAGAAATGTGCTGAGAGGGGTGTCTGTGTGTACCTAGGGAAAACATTCAACAAAAACCTTCAAAGAGAGGTGAGGTACTCTGAAACTAAATGATTCTATTCCAAGTTTGCTACCGGTATGATAGGATAAGTAAAAGAATGTTTTTGAGAAAAAATCCCAAAACATCATAGTAATTATTCCACATGTCCACCATGTTTTGTTCTAATTTTGACACACATATGTAAAGACCTTAAAATTTCAGTTTTAATTCTGTTGCAGAGCAGATTTGTAAGAGTGGGATATTTGTGCCTGAGGAAAGGCAGAACTTTGTAACGCTAATGTTACGCTCTCCTGAAAAGACATTTAATGAATAAGTGATGGAATAGTACGAATGAGTGATGGCATAATACAAATACTTGGTAATTTTTTTTAATTCAGGTTTTGCGTCTGCTTTCACATATTGTAGGACATATGGCAAAGACTGAATTGGAAATCCGCTGTCTTTAGGAAGCACTACAAGTAATTGACATCCTGCTCCTTTTTTTAATCTCAGCATTTCAGTTTTACAGCTGATTATATATTCCTTAAAAAAAAAAAAAATCAACCATGGCACAAATGTACTGGCATGGACGAGCCGTTGAGTTACTGCACATGATCTATGTTTTCCTCTGGGACCAGCAGATTTATGTCTGAATCCTCCCTCCTGTTGTGCCTTAAGCAGGTGATACTCCAGTGTGAACAGTCCATTTTCTGCCTCACTTCTCCCTCCATGGTATCCTGGAGAAGTCAATGATGCGCATATTTTCCAAGTCCCAAGCCCAATTAAAGATTTGCAACACTTTGCAGAATAAAGGTTCATCTGATGTTAAATGATGGGTTCAGCTAATTGGAAATGAGGCACGTGAGCAGTCTGGGACTGTTGGAAGTGGAGCTTCAGGTGAGGACAGCATAACAGATCTAGCAAGGTGTGGGGCTGGGGCAGGCTGACACAGGAGTAATTAGTTTCCCACAGAGAAATTTATGTCAACGGACTTTGGTATGTACAAAGCATGAGCAGAAGGCCGTTATTTTGGCCTTCAGTTTTCACTAATTTTTGTGTCTGTGTGGGAGTTTGTGGAGCACGGGGATTCTTGCCCAATTTAGCAGCATTCTTGAAGGATCAAAGCTGAATTATTGGACTCCGGTTTTATGCAGCTGGAGACCTCTACCTGTGGGGTGGTGTAGGATACTCTTCAGAGCTGGAGTGCTAGTTAACCTGCTGCGGTTCCACTGTGTACCGAAAGGTTTGTGTTGGTTTATGCAGCTCTGTTCCATTAAAAGCCAGCCTGGAACAGTTCTTTTTCAAAAACATGAGTTCAAAAGCTTTCCCGTTACCGACGAGTACGTTCATGCTTTGCCTCATCCTCACTAGCCAGCAGACAAAACTGGAAAAAACCCCCAGTGCCACGAAGTCTGTCGCTTTTGAGAGATTGAGGCTTTTTTTTCCTGGGGTCTCCCCACGACTGTTTGCAGGTACAGAGTGATCTCGAGGGTACCAGGGCCCTTCCATTGAAGTGACGAAACCCAGTGATGTGGGGGATTTCCGTTCCCTGTCACCGAGCCCGCCTCTGCCGTGCCCCCATCCCTTATTTTGCGCCTGCAGCAGTTGTGGCCAAACTGTGTCCTGTGACATCTCAGGGCAAAGAGGAAGGTGTCTGCCAGTTTTAGAGTCCAAAGGGCTTCGGTCTTTACTCTTCAGTCCATCTGCTGGTGAGCCTGCACAGCCGTGTTTGGGTGACAGGGGACGTGTATTCCGGGATTTATTAAAATGGGAGTTTCGGTCAGTGCTTTAGCTCAGCTCTCTGGTTATTCCTGCTAATCCAGCAGTAAGGATTTCTAGTGTAGGTGTCCTTTGTAACCTGCTGCCTCTGAGAGCTGAAATAAACTATTTATCAGTGAAACTGGGCAGAATTACATTCAGTAAGAGGAAGAAGATTTAGGGTTTTGTTTGATTTTCTGAGTTGTGTGGATAGTTTCACCTTGCCTATTAAAAATCTGATTTAAGCAAATGACCCGTTTCCAACGCAGACTTGGGTGTTAGCATAAAAGCAGTCTTGATTCTTGCTTGCTTTCTTTTTTTTTTTTTTTTTTTTGCCAGAATTTATGTAGAAACTAATTCTCAGACATTATCAGACTGCGCCAAATTTGTGGCTGCTTGATCCAGCTGAAGATAATGCACAGTGTTTGTTGTGGCAGCTACTTGTTCCTCTGACATTCTTCTCTGAAATGGTAATTTCTTCTCTTTTAGAGATAAGAGTAATGGAAATGGATTTACCCCTTTTGTCCTTCATTAATAATTTTTGCTGAGCTGTCATTGCATGTATGTTCTCGTAGCGTAGGCGTAGTTACCTGGGTAGGGAGTACGTGTGTATCCGCGTGTGAAAACTTATTTATAACAATTCCAGGTAATCCGAATGCATTTGCTAGCTGGGCATAATTTTCTGCCTCCTTTTAATCTGCAATTTGAATCTTTTTTCCAAGGACGGAGTTTTTGGAAAATTATTTTCCAAGACCCAGAGGTAATTTTAAGACACCGGGTGTCTCCCCTCCCCCTCCCCCCCTTTTTTTTTTTTTTTTTTCCTTCTTTTTTCCTTGTTTTTTCTCTGGAGGCCTGTGTCCTTGTAATCCGCTGAGTGGTTCTGTCTCGCCCATGCTGACCTGCCCGCTCCTTTCTTCTCCTGCCAGGTGGATTTCTTGCCAAGGTGTTTGTGTGAGGAAGCAAAGAACTCCTTTCCTGGGAAGGGGGTGGTGAGTGGGCAGCAGCCGGTAACTTTGAGGTGGCTACCAGTGTTTCCATGTAGCAGGCCAAGACTCGGGCTGGAGGGCAGCACCGCGTTCCGCTCTCCTGGAGGAAAACGGGAGCTTCCCTCCGCTCCGCTTTCCCCATGTGCTCCTCCTTTCCCGTGAGGGCAGCGCAAGGCTGTAGCGGCAGGATTCCTGCCCTGGGGAACTCGCTCAGGTGCAGAGAGGCAGGGGAGACACATCTAAGGCCTGTGAGGCCACGAACTTTTGTGCACCGAGGTAGAACCGCGAGCTTGTCGTGAGATGAGTCCCGAGGGAGAGATGGAGTTTGGGGGGACCCAGAACGTCGGTGGGGATGGCCCGCGGGGCCCA